ATATAATGAGAGCCTACAACCTCTACAAGGGTACCTGGGGGGTAGTAGACACTATGTTGTTTTAAGGTCTTTTTGAAGCACTTAAGGTATTTTTTTACAATCTCCGCTTCTCCGCTTTCACAGGGGTATCCAAGGAAAAGCAGACACTGTCGCGTTTTAAGGTCTTATCGACATATTGTTATTGACACAATGTTTTACGGTCTAACTGACGCAATATAGGATGTTCGGTTTTTTGTTTTTTTTGGTATTACATGTTTTATTATAAACGTCATTATTATTATTATATTATTATTATCATCATCATCATCATCATCATCATCATGACGATGATGATGATAATGATGATGATGATGATGATGATGATGATACTTTCCCTACTTTTTATACAGCGCCCATTTAGTTTTACTCTCAGTTGCTCACGGGGAAGCCCAAGAGGCGATACGTTGAGCTGTTTCAATTAAACAAATTTTAAACATTTTATATAATTATATATTATTTTGTCTGAAAATCTAGCAAGATTCTCTCTCCTACTCTGCTTTCTAAACGATTATGATGATGATGATGATGATGATGATGATGATGATGATGATGATGATGATGATGGTGGTGGTGATGACGATGACAACGATGATGATGATGTAATAAAAGAAAACCCCAACAAAACAACCCTCAAAGATGGCTATCGTTGCGCCGATGGTACGTACCTGCGACTGGAACCGTACGCCTTCTGCGTGTACAGTAGAGCAGCAACAACACCACGATGACCACCAGCACCACCAGGGAGACAAGTTCCGCCGACATCTTTGTCACGTGTCACACACACACAGGCACAGACCGACCAACACAATCACAATTGCTGTTTGCTGCTGTCTTTGGTGTTTCTTCACTGTTGCTGCCGTTGCTGTTGTATTTTCTTTTCTACTGCCTTATATAATTGCAGTCGATGTTGCTTATTATGCTGCTGTCAATGTGCTGTGTTTTAAAATTGTTGTTGTCGTTGTTGCTGTTGTTATCACCGCTGATAGTGGGGTTCTCTTTCCTCGTCACAGAACACAGGAGTCTGGAAAGAGGAAAATAGGG